ACTGGTTGTGTCCACATGATGATATTGATATTGAACCAAAATTTCCCAGGTTCAAAATGTTTTGATAGGTTAAAAGTCAAATAATTGTCATGTGACAAATTTTCATTTTTTTATCCACATGTAAAACTTGATAAATCGGACGCAACAATCAATTCTTTAAAGCAATTGATGATATAAATAAATGACCGACCTATCGAATTCACACGTGTATTAATTAAATAAAAGGAAGAAGTTCTGGGAAGTATCCATTACACATTCTTATTTATTTTGCTAGTGTACGTAATTTTCTGCATCGTAGAAACAAATTGGAACGTTTTTTTGCCTGCGCCTTAACGCATTTATACATCGAGTCTCAATCATTTCAGAGTTTTGTGTTTCATAAATTGAAGAATGAAATGAAATCAATCAATTTGAGGGTATCTCTTGACTGGATACACTCGCTATAATACTCACGCAGCTTTTCTCTTATCTTATCTAGTGAATCTGATCGTTTCTATTTCACTTTCTTGTCTTATCTTTCATATTGCGAGGAATGAAATGTTAGTATGGGCGGATTTTTGGAATTGGACCTTTTTTGTCACTTTATTTGTCACCTAATACCTGATGATTATGATCACAATATTAAAAAATCCCAATTAAACTAAGAGAACAACAAAAACTCGTAAAAAACCCCATTATCTGTATGTATATATGTATTAGTATTAGATGCTATTTTGCAAATTTACATACTCCATTGTTAAATTGAAATACATAAAACTCTAATGTCAGGAAGTATGAGATCGATCATTTATCTAGACCAAATATTGATTTATTAAAAGCAGCTAGCTTCTTTTGATAAACAATGAAGCACAATATACGATTGTTTTATACATGGCTGTTGTACATGAATTTTGAATTTGAAATTCACGCGCGTGAAATTCGAATTAACCATTCGGAATTTTGTATCTATCAACCATTAACCTTTTTTCGTATAGTTGTTAAATTAGTGTTATAACCCGATTGTTTAACGGATGGACCCGTTAAGGGTTTTTTCATACGGATTGGTAATGGGTTAATCCGTTAAAATAGCAAATATTATTGGATAATATTAACAAAAAACCAAAAACATTTATTGTTGGAATTTAAAATAATAAAATATTTATTTATTTAATTTGAAGAATGAATACATAAAAAAAAATTATTGTTAATATTAACGGATTTAATGGATCGCTCTCCCAAATTTAAAAAAATAAAAATGAAAAAGAAATCACTTGATTAAAATCGAGCCTTTTGAAAATTAAACTTTTTTTCTCCTATTACTAAAAAATACCAGCAAGAAATTAATCCATTATTGATTTAGTAATAGCATCGCCACTAAAAAACAATTGGAATTAATTCAAAAAAATTTTAAAGAAATCAAGTTATTTTTTTGAAAAGATTCTTGCCTTTTGGAAAATGAAGAGAAATGTAGCAACTTTATTAAAATATTATTTCTAATATTAAAAACGACATACCTTTTTTGAAAGTGTGAAGAAAAAACGTAACGATTCGGAATTAATTTTATTATTGCTTTTCTAATATTAAAAACGACCATGCCTTTTTTTGAAAGTGTGAAAAAACATAAACGATTTGAATTTTTAATTTAATTAAAACATCAAGCCATGCCTTTTTTTGAAATGTGGAAAAAAACCGTTATTGTTGAAGGAATTGAATGAAGCTTTTTTGAAAAAAGTTCTCCTGTTGCTTATTGTGAAGAAGAAAAATGCAACATTTCGAAAATTTGATTCATTATTTAACAACCATGCCCTTTTTGAAGTGATGAAGGAAATCTTCATCAATATAAAAAATAGCAGTAGGGTATGAATTGTAAATTGTAAAAAATAATAATAAACAATAAATAAATAACAAATAATAATTATAAAAAAAAAATAAAAATAAAATAACATGTGTTCTATTTTTTGTTGCCAATTGTTTCATTAAACACATAATTTCCACTGAAGGAACAATCAGCAGAACTGCTCTTTATAGAAATGACAATGTTTTTAGAAAGATTATCTTCAAAGGATATTATGACAAGGCAAACAATGTGTTGAATTTTTCCAAGCATTCAATTGTTGCCTCCAAGCATTCAATTGTTGCCCTGGTTGGGAGATATGTTATGGAAGAGGGAGACAAATATGTATGTCTCAATTTCAGAATGAACAGTATGAAATATATAGCATTTTATGTAATAGTTAGGATAGGAGATCAGATGGAAAATATCCTTACTTTTTTTTAACTGGCTTGGCTGGAACTGGCGAACTTTTATGACCAGGCAAATAATTAATTTCCTCCAATCAAAGAATAAAAAATACCTATTGGTAGTTCCCACTGGTGTTGCAGCCCAAAACATTGATGGAAAAACTATACATTCATCCTTAAAAATAAGATTTTGGGAGGGAAGTTATGAAACATTAGCCCTTTCCAATCCTGCAGATGTAACAGAATTAAAAAAGATTGAGGCACTTGTAATTGAAGAAGTGTCAATGGTTGATGGTGACTTTTTCACATTTGTTAGCAACACCTTTGCTAAAATTCATAAAAACAATCTTATCTTTGAAGGAATACCAACACTTGTCATAGGACCTAGCTCAATTCCCTCCAGTTTGTCCTTCTCAAGTATTTAGATCACCAATTTGGAAAAAAATTTTACCATTGTTCTTAACTACACCACAAAGGCAGATAAATGATGTTGAATTTTACAGGATCCTTCAAGAGATAAGAACAGGAAATTTGTCAGTTAGAAGCAAGCAAATAATCCAAAAAAGAAACTGACCTTTGTAGTTTCTGTGATACCACACATGTGGTCGGCACTCAAAAAGCAGCTCAATCCCTCAATTCAATATTCTTTAATCATCTTTCTTTTGACAAAACATGAAATGATCCAATGGTTTCTGAATGCATAGACACACCAGAATTTGAAATATCAAATGATGATCACATGATTGCTCAATTCAAAAACTTAACCAACTTGCCTCATAAATTGTATTTACAAGAAGGTGCACATGTGATATTTCTTAATAATAAGTTATTTGATGAAAAAATATGCAATGGAACTATTGCAATAGCAACAAAAATTTATGATGAAGAGAATGTTGAGGTGACCTTTCCTACCTTGGCCAGCATAAGCAAGGTTATTTTCCAAAGAGAAACATCTTACTTTGAAGTTTATGGCAAGAGAGCATCAAGGAATCAATTTCTTCTGACTGTTCATAAAACTCAAGGATTGACTTGCCACATGTAACATTGAATGTTGATGAAAGTATGTTTGCTGAAGGACAAGTGTATGTTGCAATGAGTCAAGCTCCCTCATTGGAAAAACTGCAAACCCTTGATTTTGATTATTCCCAATTAAAAATTTCCAGGGTGGCTTTGGAAGAGTATAAAAGATTGGAGGCTGTGTGCATTGATGGGTTACAAAAAACTAACAACACTGTAAAAAAAAAAATTCTTTGTAAAAAATTGAATGTAATTAAATCATGATGTATCTAAATTTTAAATTCCTGAAAAAATTCCATGCTGATGCTTGTGTAATGTGATGATTACACAAACTCGCTGCAACCTATTAAAATCTTGTTTAATTCATCACTACATTACATAACATTAACCAGAAAATTTATCCGTTAAACCGAGGGATCCATTAAATCGAAACTTATGATCAAATCATGTAATATATGTGTACAAAAAAAATTTTTTATTTAAATAATAATTTTTGTAAAATATAATGGATAATAATAATAATAATAATAATAATATCATTGTTGATTCATAAATTCATCAATTCGACATTGTTTTGCATCTTGGGCACTTATATAAGAAATCTCTCTTTTTAACTTCAATATATTTTTAATTATTCGAGAATCAACTTCTAAATCTTTTTGTTGTATATATTTAAGGGCATTTTCCAACCCATTTATAGCTTCTGTACTTGTTACAATTGGCTCACTTATCTTATCACCACCCTCATTATCTTCAACTTCAGGTTGTCCCAACACTATGTTTACAATTTCTTGTTCTGTCATTTCTTCGAATTCAAGGTTTTGATCAATCATAATAAATTCGTCAGCATTTAAAGGATTTTCATTAGCTTATAAAGAAAAAAAAAGAGACATACATATAAGTGTCGTTGCCAAGAAATAGTTGACAATATGTTCAATTAAAATGTTATTAATATTTAAGATTAATACACTTATTTATTATATGCTTATTATTATAATTATAAGTGACATATATTAATACGAAAATCTGTTAAATCAAGATAGAAAAATTTGGTTTTGAAAATTTATCTGTTAAACCCCAAGATCCACTAAATCGAGATTCACTGTGTAATCCAAATGATAGGAATCTTACAGAACAAACAATCATGCAGTGGTAAAAGGCCTATCTTTTTTATATTACTTTCTTACAAGGATTAGAAATAAACAAATTAATACCATAAGAAAAAATATAGCAATGTTTTTAGATCAGTCTAATACTTCAAACCAAGCCATTAACACCTTTTCTAGTATCCAATTAAGTTCATCATCAAGAGAAAATAGGAATGTTATAGCCTTGATTCATAAAGAAAATGTTGCTAAAGAGCTCTCAAATTATCAGGACAATGCAATTAATGTAAATGTTGATGATTATCACAATACTCATGGCTTACAAATGCCTACAACTACATCTACTAGTGATGTTTATCATATGACAACCATCCTTGCTATTCCAATACCTGAAGCAAAAGCTGTTCCAAATGATGCTAAACATAACCCATTAGTCATTGATTGTGATTCTTTAATTTTCCGAATAGAAAATCATTACATGTCATTACTTTCCCAATCATATAACAATAGATTTGCAAATCAACTTATTCTTTCTGAAGATGACTTATTTGGTAGTCTTATTTCTTATTGTTATGATGCTGAGATTCATGAAAAAAAAAGGAGGAACGGCAGCTTAAAAACACATTACTAATAGATTTATCCATCTAGAGTTGAAATCTACTCAATCATATATTGAAGCCATGAAGGTATTTGAATCTTTTCATTATTTCCAAAAAATGTTATTCCATTAATTGCTGACTGGTCAGGCCAAATCCATACTCGAAGAGCAATTGTCATGCATCAGCATCCATCACAAAAGGATATCATTCCAGAATTTGTTAGGTCTTTTATTCCAATAATGGGGACCATTGCATGTATCACTCAACAGTCATGAGACTGTTGTTTTGCTATTTAATGGCTTTTTTAATTCTGCTTATAAATCTATTTTTGGATCAAGCAAAAAGCTCACTGAAAATCCTCACCCTTGGAGAATTAATCAATTGTTGCAGATAATGTCAGATGGCTGGAGAAAGGTTGCACCATATATTATTGAGAAACTTGAACCAATTTGTTCAAGAGATGCTGAATATCTTACATTGAAAGCCCTTTTAGATGATGCAATTCCTCTAGTTTTGGATATTTATTCAGCAACTTTCAGGTCAGGAAATTTTGGATAATTATATTGAAGCTTGTGTGAGAGTATGGTGTTTATTTGCTAAGTTTAAAAGAAAAAATTATAACAAAGCACCATTATTATTTCTTTTTGATGCATGGTATTGGGAAAGCGTCAAACATCCTGTTATTGATACTCTTAAAATGCATCTTGTAACTTTTAATGATTATCCAGTTGAAAATTAATCTGAAGGCAAACTAGAAAAGCAGATAATAATGAACAACTTACAAAAGCAAGCTCATATTATTGACCATCTTTGCCATGATAATATATTTTGAAGTTCATTTGTTGCCAAAAAAAAAGGATCCTTATTGCAAAAAAGATTCAATAGGGTTAACAAACAAGGCATCTTGTTTTCTCCTTGAACTATTCACTAAAGTCAAAAACAATGTAGGAAAAAGTAAATGACAAGATGTTAAGCAAAATTCTAAAACAAAGAAAGCAAAAACAAATAAAACAAATAAAATAAATCACCAATTTCCATGCCACCTTGCAACCTTGATATAATTGTTGATCAACACCATTTACCAATGGCATTTAGTACAGATTATCCACCAATTGACCAATCAATAGAGTGTCATCTTAAGGATACTTGTATGAAGCCTCAATTAAATTCTAGTGATCAAAATTTTCAGCAGTTCATAAAGCTGACGCTTCTTCCATGTGGTCATATTTATCATGAATATTGTTTACAACATCATGAATACAAGTGTCTATATTGTTTAAAATA